TTAGTTACCCAATAACTCTGTCTTATGGGAAAGGAAATAGACATTATCAATAGCACATACTTAAAATTTCAAAGAAGTTAATCCTCAAAGAATGTCGTCTGAAGCAAAAGGTAGAAACCTAGACTTGGAGTCAGAAAGACCTGAGTTCAAATACTGCCTCAGATACTGCCTATGTGACTCTGGGCAGTCATTTCATTTCTGACAGTCTCAGTTTCCTCATATGTGAAATGGGTATAATAATAACACCTACCTCCCAGGGCTATTGTGAGGATCAAATGAGATAATGTTTGTAAAGATCTTTGCAGAGCTCAAAACGCTATAGAAATGCTAGCTATTATAACAATTATTATTATTAATTGAAGAAAAAAGAGATAATTTGTAGCCTTGTAATACTTTAGAACAGAGAGGCATTTTTCAATTGAGACAATATCATTTTAACCCAGGCAGACCTGGAAAACGCCTTTGGAGAATTAGGGGCCATATATTCTGGACCTAGATATATATTTTCTTCCTTGAAGCTCAAAAGAGAATACTTTATCTCTCTAATTCACTGATATGTTATTCTGAGTTATAATTATCTAAATCCCCTATCATATATCTTTACTAGATTATAAATTCTATGAAATCAGAGACATATAATGTGTTACAGTATATTGACCAAAGTGCTTTTTACTGAATTATATTAGCACCTGGAAGACCTGCTGAGTTGAGATGCCATTGACAAAGACAGGCTCACAAAGACAAACCGGTATGTGGTCAGACTTACCTTATTTTCTCCCAACTTAAATCCAGCTTTTGCAGATGAACTCCTTGACACATCATGTTATCCCAGTGAAATTCTTCCATAATACACTGGAAGGGAGTCTGGATAGATTTCCTGATGGCAAACTTTGACACACACACCCCACCCCAGGTAATAATTCTTAATATCTAGAGCCATAACTGAACCTGTGGCAAGTTGGATAGTAGGCTTTCCTAGGGTACAGCTTCCTAGGACACCATTGAATAGCTGCAAGAAATGGAAGGAGAAGTATCCTAGGAGACTGCTGTTATTAGGGTGGCTAAGGGAGGAATTGCCCCTAGAATGGTGCTGTTGGCACTTTTTAAATCATCCACTCTGAGGCAAAGCTCTATCATCCCATTTTAGGTACAACTCTATCAACACAGATAGAAAGAATATTCCCCACTCCACACCCTATTCGTTAGATTGGTTTTCTAACAACAACGACAACAACAACAAAAAAATTTCTCTTAACACAGTGTATATTCTTAATTAAAATGAAATAATTGAGGAAAGCAAAGGATATCTATGACACCCAGCTGAAGATACAGGTTGAATTTTGGTATGCAGAGTGTGATTTGACTTCATAGTGAAATTGGAGTACCTGTGTTATCCAAAAGATTTTCCCCTACAAATACCTCCAAAATTATGCCCACATCTAAAGGGATAGCAACAACAAGACTTTTGAATGAAGGGACAGATACACAGAGGCAGCAATGTTAGAGACATTATCTGTTTAATAAATATGATTGTAAAAGCAATAAACAATAGCAATTATACATTACACTACATCTTATTTAACCAAAAAAATACATCAAAAAAGTCATTTTAAAATTAGAAGTAGTTCCAATACGATAAGAAAACTTTCATTTTTTTAATTGGCTTCCTATAAAAATAAGTTGGCTAATGAGGGATTTCAATGCTCAGTTGGAATTCTGGAAAACACAGAACAGCTGTCAAGCGTCCCATGGCTCTGGAAGTTGCTGTTTGGAACTCCTGAAAAAAGCAAAGCCAACCTCTGCATTTTGGAGGGGTGAGTCTAATTAGCAACAAGGCAAGGAAGCTGCTGGCCCTACGTTTAGGGTGAGATTTGCACATTTTTCCTCCAGGGCTTAAAGAAAGGCCTGAAATCAGACCTGACTCTGGGTTTGCCTTGCATCTTGCCTGTTTCTTATAATGGCTCCTCCAGCGTTTTGACCAATCACTCCTTAAACAAACCATGATCCTGCTGCAGTTTCCTCTCTGTTAGTGACAAATAGGGGTAGGCACTTGGTTCCCTCTTAATCCCTGTTCCTTCTAGATACCTCCTCTGGAAGGCATAACCGGGTCCACAGGGGAGAGAAGGACTAATTCTTCCCATAACTCTTTGGCCCAGTGACTGAATCTCAGGGGTAATCTTCAAGAAAATGGGAAGTTCTAGGGGTGTTGGGGATGGTGTTGGTGAGAAGTGGATCTTGTTAGAACAGAATATCAGAGCAATATGGGATATTAGAGATCATCAAATCCCATTTCCTCATTTTAAAAATGAGAAAAATGAAGCCCAGACAGAGTGGGACAATGACTTCCCCAAGGTTATATAACTAGTTAGTGGCAAAGCCAGGACTGAGGCCCAGATCTCAACTCCTACAATCCAAGGCTCTTTCCACCCCTCCCTGCTGCCTCATTCTCAGAAGATAACGTGAGCTGTTATTTTTTTTCAAAGTGGTCGTCAGTGACCAGTCTCCCTAATGACTAACACTTATTGCCTACCCCTGATTCTAACACTAGGTTAAGAAGATGATTTTTTTTCCTCCTTGAAACTATACATCTATCTCCCATGTTGTTACTGATGACAATTACTCTGCTGCTTTCTAACCATTCCATCTTCCAGATTCAAATAGAAACCTTTAATGGAATAGGTCAAGTGTGTCTCTTGTGGGACAGGAGCACCAAAGTGGTAACTACCAAAGGCGTTCAACTTCTAAGTTTAAACCTAGACTCCCAAGCATAAAATAGACTGTTGGCAAAGCTTTGGAAAGCTCCCGAACAACCCTTCTTCTAGAGCTGAGGCAGAAGGGGGCATACACAGTTCCTGCTGGGGCTGGTCCAATGATGGGTATTGAATTCGCTACACCATGGGTGTTACCCAGAAACTATCATGTCCTGTGTTAAGGCCCCAGGTGAGTGATGACGTTAAGCTCTAGAGTGGAAAGATGAGACTGTTCTTTCCTACTGCTGAGGTTGGATTCTGGACTTTCCCTACTTCCAAGGCCTTAGGGTTTTCTCCTATACTTCCTCTATTTTACAGTGTATTTATTCCTTCTTCTGTGGTTTTTCTGGTCCACGTCGGGGAAGGTCCGGGAATAATTTGAATGCCATTGTGATTTTTTAATGACTTGCTTTGCTGTGTTCTGCCTACTTTATCCTTTTCTTTTTTCCCCCTTATATTGAAAACAGAATATTCATGGATATGTGTGTGTATGTGTTCGTGTCACTACCAGGACCATCAAAATAGCCAAAAATATCATCATCTTCGCTATCTAACAAACCTTAGTTTATTTCTCTTAGAACTGTGTAGTTTCTAAAATGAGTTTCCTTTAAGTATGGTGCTGACACCCCTTTAAGAGTTTAAGTCAGCTTAAAGTCACATGCACATTGCCACTTTACAATGAGAAGGGATTGGGTTATGACAAAACCGTTATGTTTTCTCTCTTCAGAGTAACTGTCAACATGAAGTAATATGTATGTGTGGGCAGAGCAGGGGGTGAAGGGGAGGTGAACCCTAACATATTGTAAAAGAAATATAACATTTTCAAGTGAATTGCCTTTATGAATGGGTACTGGTTTGACCACTCTTCTGAATCCCTTATCCAAAGTATATGACCCAACCTCAAGCTGACTTGAATAATACCCTTTCACATATGAAATATTTTTGAGGGGGAATCTATAAACAATTTTAAAAGTGACTTGAGGTTGGGGGTTCTAGGACAGAAGGTACAACGTATGGAACGAAATCCCTCTTCTTGTAATCTTGCACAGATTAGTTATAGACTCTTCACTGGAGGGGTTTAGAGTCCATTGACTCCAAAACTATCAATTTATAGAGGAAACTAGGACTCATACAGAAGAAATAATTTCTCAGGGTCACAGTAAGTGGCAAAGACAAGGGTAGAATCAAGATCTTTTGACTCCCACTCAATGTTCTTTCCATTGATCCATTTCCCAAATCATTGGCAACTCCAACAGAGAAATTTGTAAGAGGCTTTAGTGAAAATGAGAATTCAGTAGTTCAGAATTTAAACTGAATGTCCATCAGATAACAGGAAAGGTTACAGTGAAGTTTTTATTCAGAAACAGGAGGAGGAGGGGAAAGCTAAAATGGAAGGATGAGGCAGCTAGATGCTTTGGTCCACTAGGGACTGAGGGGGTAAATAAAGATGGTAGTGAGGACATAGGAAAAATGGATTGATTCAGACATGAAAAATAATGGATGAAAGGTCATTTAGTGGTAAAATGAGGTCTTGTATCCTATCCATGCCACGAGGGGCTACAAGAAGAAGGAGGTGTGTCCCTTCTACATGGGTGTTGTAATTACTAGGAATAGATGGATGGGAAATTAAATGCCCATTTTCAATTTTTCTCCCTGCCTCACTCTTCCCAGCCTGATGCTTCCCATTATCTGCACCAATTGCCCCATTTCCCTCTGGAGCCACAGAGCATAAAGAGCCACTGCTGTCCAATGGAGGGGCAGAAGGGAAATCAAACAGGAAAACAGAAATAAGGGAAATTAACAGAGAAAGAGCCCAGGGTTTCAAAACACCTGTGAGGCATCTCTTTTGTGTCTTATGAAATTGCCTCGGGTGGCTAACCCAACCCAGTAGGCTTTAGTGCTAAAATTGCTGTTAAATCTAGAGCCAAGAACACTTCCAAAAAAAAAAAAATACATGCAGATTTCCTTGGTCTCTATTTGTTATGAATCTCCTACAAACACGACAGATCAGAAAAAAAAGAGAGAAGGAGGGGAAGAGGGGAGCGTTTTCCATTAAAATAGAGCACCTGTACACCGCCCCTCCGAACGTGTTCTCAGGATCATGTCCACATGCACAGGTTTAAAGCTAAAAACCCTTGTTGTCTGTGTCTGAAGAATTAAAAAGTCCCGATGCAGTGAGTGTTTTTTAATGTGTTTTTGTTTGTTTTTGTTTTTTGTTTTGTTTTTTGTTTTTGTTTTTGTTTTTTTACTGGCGTCCTCCATTCAAACATTTACATAGGTAGGGATTTCTTTTGTGCTTTGATTCTCAGCAACTATGGAAATACTTCCTGGCAAAATAGGAAACAGAACAACAAAGGGGAAAAAAATAGAGTTAGTGGACAGGAAACGATGATGCACTCGACAAGAGCGAAATTCTTTCCCGATCAGCAGGTCTCCGCCTTTGGGGTTTTTTCTTTAAATTGTAAAGTGTGCCCCGGAAGGTCCCCGCTTTGGCGTAGAAGGTGGAGTGGCATGTCTTGCTCTTTTCAATCGGAGAGATGATTCACCAGGTTGAGCAGAAGGGGAGGGAGGGGAGGGTAAAGCTACTCTCCTAAGAGAAAATGTGTAACACTTACTCATTTAATGACATTTGAAATGAAAAGGTGTCAAAGACTTTGCAATCTGCTGAGCGATGTTCCTGGAGAAGGAGGGATGGCTGCTCTAATAAGGTAAACAGTAACTGGGCTTCCCACCTCTGGAAATAGGATTGAGAATCAAATGACCCAAGAAAAAAATCACTTAAAAGCTTTACAAGTGACTAGACAGGGTGAACACTGCTCTGGACTTGAGGACAGAAAGGCTTTTTTTTTCTGTTTTAACCAAAGCAATTACACATTTATCACCCTGTCTCCCCAAATAGAGGAAAATGCATTGAGAAAATTGGACACCAGATGTGACTGCAGTTGTTATTATTACCTACAATACTGGCAGAGTTATTATATTGAAATTTTCCCTTAATACATCTACAGACCTCTCCCATATCCATTTAAAGACAGGGTTATGTTTTCATTTAGGTACTCATTTTTTCCAGTAACATATTGAAAGTCATATGTAAGGGGCTTCTAGGCAACTTGGTATTATCAAGTTAAAGTGAAGCGTAGATAGTGATGTATAAAATGCATCAGCCAAAGTCTGCAGCACAGGGCTGAGATGAGACCATTTACAGCCCATCCAACTCCCAATGCTAACAGACTGGAGAACCACAGGGAGAAAGTTACCATCCAAAATGGGGCTTCACTTATCGTTTGGCTTCCTAGGGGCACAGGGGGCCTCCATATAAAAAGCATTTAGCAATTTGGACAAGAGCAGCACATCTCTCTCTCCCTCCTTGATTCCCAAGCACAACTTAGATGAAATCAGGAACTCTGCAGGTAAAGGGGAAGCCCTCTTTTAAATACATTTGAAGTGCACCTTAGATTCCATTTGCAGGGTGAGGAGGAAACAAAGCAGCGACTTGGCATTCCCCTCTGCTACAGCATCTCCCTCTACCACCCAATTTTTTTTCTTTAAGTGAAATTGACTCCCTGAGGCTACAGTATAGAATGTTTGATTGCTCCTTTCCCATAACAAATCCCCACGATGCTTTGCATCCCTCCTCATCCCCTAGAAATCCTTTCTAGATTACTGTTAGATTTTTGAAGTAGTATCTACTTGGGGAAAACCCACCTGAAAGTCCTTCCCATCCCACCCCCACCTCTCACCCCATCACCTTTAGGATCAGCGGTTCCCGCTCTGCCATTGGTTAGAAGATACTCTCTCTCCTCTGTGTTGTGGCTCCCACTCGGTTTGCTGCACCCAGCTATTGGTCCATACTTACCGCTCCCGGAAATATCCCACCCTGACCCCTACACCATGCCACCCATTACCCCCAAGATTTTGTATTCTCAGAACAGATACTTTTCTGTCATTCACATAAAGGTCAGAAACCACATGTGTTAGTGAAGGTCCCAGGGCAGTTTTATGAAAGACAAGAGACAACTAAGGACAAAGCTATTGGATAGAGACAGGAAAGCCTCATGTTATTATTTTACTTTCTGTCAAAGTAAAAACAAAGTGAGGGAAAGTAAATTGACAGCTTAGCTTAGTTCCTATCAAGGATGTTAATTAACAGAATAGAAGACAGGGGTCTTAAGCTGGGGAAAGGAATAGAAGAGATTTAGCCAATTACTATTCAGACTGACCAGCTATTGGCTACCGGAAATTATTTACCTATGGGCTGTGGGTCCAACTTCTCATCTATAAATTGGCCAGGGCTCCTCAGCTCAGCCTGAGTGATATTGGGCCTGTTTTCACTGTGACTGACTGGGCTGATCAGCTCTTGCTCTTTCTCATTCTGCATCTGGGCATAAACATTAAGGCCCGGGATCTTCCTAAAACATTAACAAAAACTGTCAATTGCTATGCACACAGGACAAATGTCACTTCTATATCATGCTTTTTAACCTGGGGCAAGGAGGATGGAGTTGGCAGCTGGGGGATGAAGAGGGCAGAGGGAGAGCCACGCACCTTTTGAACTTGTAGATGACGAAGACGGCCAGCCCCACAAAGACCACAGAGAGTAGCATCAGCATTGCTGACCCACTGTGACTCGGGGTGAGGTCCACAAGGGGTGCTGGAAGAGAAAATGAAACAGTAATGAGAGATGCTGCAGTTGAAAAGTGCTAGGTAGAAACAGCCATGAAGATTCCAATAACATCAAACAGGTATGATAAGATACATGAGCATAAGGAGCAAAATGGTGCCTCTACCAAAGTCATTTTGTAATATTTTTTAATAACTTAGATTCCTTTAATGTTCAAAATGGAAGTCATCACCCTGCCCCTTAAATGCATCCTTCTTCCAAATTATCATTTCAATACAAATGATTCCCAGTTTTCTACATCCAACCTTAATCTCTCTCCTGAACTCCTTCTTCCCATTTCTAAGTGCCAGCTAGACATCTCTCTGTCCCATCAGAACCTCAAATGCAAACTATGACTAAAGTGAACCTCACTATCTTCCCCCATAAGCCCAACCTCCTCTAGTCTTTTCTACTTCTGTCAAGGGTACAATTATCCTCTTAGTCCCCCAAGTTCAGAGCTTCAGGGTCACCCATGACTTTTCTTTCCTTCAGCCTCAACCCTACATCCAAGCAGTTGCTAAAACCTATTGAGTCAGTTCCTAAAACATATTTCACATTCATCCCCTTCTCCTTGGTCACATGGGCAGGAGTCTAATTCAGGCACTCATTATGTTTCAATTGGATTATTGCAACAGACTCCAAAATTGATTTTCCTGCTTTCTGCCTCTCTTCTTTCTAATCTCTCCTCCCTACTGTCATTGAATTAATCTTAAGTGTACATAAATCTGACCAGGTCACCCCTCTTCTCAGACACTGGACTCCTATTACCTCTAGGATAAAATGTCAGCTCCTCAGTTGATATTTGAAAACCCTGCCCAACCTAGCCTCCACCTACCTTTCCAGATTAATTTATATCATATACTCACTGTTCTAGGCACGTTGGTCCACTAATTGTTACTTTAACTTGATATGCCACCTCCTATCTTCATGCCTTTGTACAATTTTTCTTCTATGCCTGAGATTCACTCCTTCACCTCCTTATAGTAGAATATGAATTCCTTGAGGTCAGGGAATTATTTCTTCATTCTGTCATTTTATCCCAGTGCCTTGCTGAGTGTTTTGCAAACAGTAGGTGCTAGATAAATGTTTGCTCTATTGAATTAGCATCTCTAGAATAGTTCAAGGCTTTGCTCACATAGCACTTCCTTCACAAAGCTTTTCCTTATCTCTCCATCACTGTTGTTCCTCCTTTTGTTTCCCTCTTCAAATTATCAAGTATATAATTAATTGTGTACATATTTTTTCCTCCTTCCACTCCCCTCAACCATCCAATTAACTACAAAAAAAAAAAAAAAGCAAAGGCAGTCACTTTTTTTTCCCTTGCATGTCTGGAACCTCATGTAGTGCCTTGAACATAGACATTTAATAAATGTTTACTGAATTATATAATCTAATTCATTATAATCAAGATGTAATGACAAAACTCTTCTAAAATGACATATGGCCAGTCACCTATTTATAACACGGTCCCTATGGCAATAACTGTTCCCTGTAACATTATTTCCTTTTATGTTATGTTTTCATGGAAATGATTAATTACATCAATTCATCTCAATCAAATTCAACTACAATGCATTAAGTGCCTACTATACTATATGTCAGGCACTAGGGATGTAATGATAAAAATAAGTCAGTGTCCTCAAGAAACTTACATTCTACTAGTAAGGAGGGACACTGCATTGGGGAACAGTATGTATACTGGCAAGTCAAAACACACACAGAATTTCATATTTGGAAGGAGCCCCAGAAAGCATCTAGCCCAACCAATACCTAAAAAATAACCCCTACATTACACTGGCTACATAGTCATCCAGTTTTTATCTGAAGATTTCCACCAAGACCAGTATGAAAATTAAAAACATTTATTTGTGTATTATTCCCCCCTTTTCCTGGAAAACACACACACACACACACACACACACACACACACAGAGTAAATATCAATGTAATGAATATTTGTCTAAGAAAGCCAACTCCAAGCCCATCCACCCTGCTCTCCATAAGCAATTAGTACCTTCCTACTTAAATGAGCCCTTGGAATTCTGTACCCCTCTACTGTAGCATCACCACCTTCCCAAGAAGAGGACTCCAGAGCATAATTAATTGAGGTCATTACCAATATATATTTTCAAAGATGCATCCCCCCCTCCTCTCAGGTACTTTACAGGTTCTGGGTTACTACTTAATATGTTCCCTCCAAATAATTTTCTCTTGTTTCTCCCTGTAACCTTTCAGTTACCTCCCTTCTTAGCTTGGTGTACTTTCAATTATTCTACTTGCTAGAAAGCTCCTGAACCTTGGAACATGATATTTTTCAAATATTACATACCTCAACCAAAAAGAAAAAGAAAAGTCAAGCATACCCTCCTCAACTATAGGGCACTGACCTTTATCTTCTACCCATTTACACGAAGTCTGTTACTCAGAGGTGTGAATATCCTTTAAGGATCATTTTCTATAGCTCATCTCTGTCTGAAGCAAAGAGGGGGCTGCTCTTTTCCGGTTGCCCAGGTGCAAAGTTGACAGTATAGGTGACCCATTATGGTAATTGATAATCCCCAGCACCTGGCTCTCCTCCAAACTTGGCTTTTCCAGGTTAGAACCCAGCTAGTTTGCAGTATCTCCTCCAAGACTTACTCCCATTAAACAACCCATATAGGGGTTAATGAGAAACAAAAGTCATATCTTCTTGCTAAGAGAAAAGGCTTACATACATACATAAATCTGTTCAGCTTTCCAAAGGTTTTAAATCAAGACACTTTTTATTGCTTTGGGAATTTGGGGACAACTTGCCTGTGAAGTGAAGAAGGCAAGTGTGTATATGTGAGAGGTCAGGCCAGTGGCCATGAGACTAGGGAGGCTTCAGGGTATGAGGATGCCTAAAGCAAAAATGATCTAATACTGATGTAAAACAAGGTACTTCTTAACCTAAGCAAAGGAAGTGCCAGTAGCAGAGGGGTTGAAAGATGCTTCAGGCAGATCTGAGACTAGAAATAGACAAAGTAGACAGCCCTCAAAGGCACACACTATGGGATCCAACGAGCTTTCAAATACTACTTTTCATAAATACATTCATTTCTAATTCTAGATAGCTTTGCTCTGGTATACAAGGATTTATTTTATGACAAATGAAGTCCAACATTACTCCAGCGAAAGCTCAAAGACTCCCATGTATGGTGAAACACAGGGGAAAGGAATTTACAACTCTTGCCTAGGGCAAATAAATACCCAATCTTAGTTCTGGCTTCAGGGTTCCTCATCAGAGGAAACTGGGGAGGTTTTGTTCAGGTAAGAAGGACACAATCAATCTATGCTCACTTAGTGATACTCATCAATTGAGGAATGTCTGAACAAACTAAATCCCAGGGTTGTGGCAAGGATCAAATGGAATATTATTTATTGAGCTCCTAGCATGATGTCTGCCACATAGTAGGCATTAAATAAATGTTTGTTCCCTTCCCTTTCCTACACCTGTCATCCTTTAATCCTAAATGAATCACCCAAGGTCACCCACAGCAAGCCAGTGGCATACACAGAGCATAAACTGAGGTTTCCCATTAAACCCTTTCAAACACTATGTGCTTACAACCCTGTTAATACTATCAAGAATAACAAAGAACATTGTCCTTGCTTTTAAAAGAGCATTTGCCATTTGAAATGAATGGCAAATGCAAACAGACTCCCAGAGACAGAATCAGCACACGTATTCAATAGAGAGGGGACACTTGCCTCTCTCTCAACTTCCCTCCCCACATTGATATACACCTCCAGGGTTAAACCTGCAATTCACTTCCCATTCATTCACAGCAGAATCCTATAAACATCTGCCTTAGTCATTCTGACTCTAAGCTTCCTAACTGGAAAACAATTGGTGGAACCTACTAGGGAAATTGATGCCAGTATCTTGCACGCTAAATTCTCATTATCTTTTGAGGCCTTCTGCATGAGTGGTCTTAGGCAGGCAGCATTAGCACTGCTTAAGGCTTGAGTACCACTGCCCTCTGTGTTCAATGGCTTTGGGATGCAGACCTGGGCCCTACATAGAAACCGTCCTGCTATTGCTTCAGCCAGCAGCAGCTGCATAGTTCAGTTTTTTAACACTTAGGTATATTTCTGTGTGTTTTGCTGAGGAATGGAAACTCTTATGATAAATGGGCTGCAGCTTGTTCCCTGGAATTAGCATAAATTAGTCCCTCTCCAGTTGCGACTAAACAAGGTAGAGGCTGGGGGGAAAAGTGCTGAATGCTTGACTTGCCATTATTCAGGGACAAAGAGAAACATGACTATGAGGTGGGTAGCAACGTTCTTCCTACCTCCTTGTTTATGAGCACAGGCAAAAGGGCACACATGCATGAACACACACACACACACACACACAAAGGATTTTACCATTCAGTTGAATTCAATTAAGATTGGTGTGATTATTTAAAGATCCAGATAGGGTAACAGATTCAGTGGGAGTTACTTCTGGATGTGCCTTTCTTCACTGTGGTAAGTGACACCCATTTCCTCATCCCTACTTCCCTCCAAGGTCTAGTCAACCAGAATACAAACAGATAAAAAAAAAATTCTCCAAATACCTACCATGAGTGTGGCACAATGTTAGGCATTGAGCAGATAAAAGAAAATGACACATTCACTGGTCAGAAATTAAAAAAAAATTAAGGTGAAAAGCACTATGGCCTGATGATTTCATAATTATTGGGAATTTCTAAGAATGAAAACTGCCTACACTAAAGTTTACTTGTGAGCACATCAGAGTGGGGAGTATTCCAAGTATAGGAAATCTGTGCACAAATGCAGACTGGCAACTGGTCTATAATGCAGTCTCATAGAGTAGTCTAGGGGCACTAGGAAGTTAAGTGACCCATTTATGGTCATATAGTTAGCGTGTGTCATAATCAGGACTTGAAATCAGCTCTTCCTGATTTCACTTTCTCTGGCATTTGAATTAAGCCTAACAAATCTGCATCTAAGGCTAGTCTGTTTTC